ATTTGTTTTCCTTCTAAACTTGCCAAAGCTAAAAAATACATTATTTACGGCGATTTGAACTTGTCATTCTCGTAGACTGGTTCGCACTCAAGGCAAGAGAGTTCAGACTCCCCTGCTATTTAACCCATAGTTGGAGCAGGATAGATTCATGCTTTTTCAGAGTGAAAATTAGTTCAAAATTGAACCCTACGAATTGAACCAACTTGCAAATTGTTGAAAAACTGTAGAAAACGAAAGAAAAAATCAAAAAATAAGACCAGAATTCATGAAAGCTTTGCTTGGTGGAGCATCAAATTTATTATTATTATTATTATTATTATTATTATTATTATTACCAGTGCTCTATGTCTTGTGATTCGCGGTTATGTTTTTGTCCTTAATTCTCCCTGTACATCCACCTACTCAAATTAACGATTTATTTCATTGTCTTGTAATGATTATGATTAGTAAAAATGAAATATCCCCTTTCAAAATTCTGAATTTCCTGGCAAGCAGATATTCGCCAGAACATTACCTTGCCTGGGTATGTTATTAACCTCATCAAAGTTCAGATGATGTGGATGATTTGATGATCCAATTTGTGGTCAAGAGTATTAGATGGCGAGACAGAAAGTTAACCCTCGAGGATTAGAATAATGAAAATAAAGAAATTATAGCAAATCTATCAGAGAATTCACAAAGTAAATATTCAAGCCTGCAACAGGCTATAGTTTCATATATATTAATAACATTGATTAGGGACCGTATGCGCATTTATTGTGTATCTTAAAAAAGAAAAGTAATAATCCTCTCAACAACTATCTATCTATCTATCTATCTATCTGGCTTTCGGGTGCTGAAAACCTGTCGGCATGGCCACTTCCCAAAATTTAACCAAATGTTCAAAAATAAGATTTTTGCGAGCAAGAACATTCAGTAATTACGTCTGGAACACCCCAACACACACACACACAGACTGGACTGCGGCAGCTATTGGCTGGTTAATTTTAATGCCTCAAAAACAAAACTGCTCTCTATTATTCACCAAAGAGAACCATCCCTGCCTCCCATTAGAATGTCTGACGCTCAACTCCACGAGAGCACGTCTTTACGACTGCTCGGTCTCACATTGTCCGCTGACCTGAGATGGAACAAATACATTGAGTCAATAGCTTCGTCCACCGCAAGGAAAGTTGGCTCCCTGTGCCGCGCCAGGAAGTTTTTCTCGCCGGAGTCGATCCTTCACATCTACAAATCAACCATTCGCCCTTGCATGGAGTATTGCTGCCATATATGGTCTGGAGCCCCTTCTGTTTGTCTCAAGGTTCATGATAAAATCCAAAGACGGATATGCAATGTAATTAGCCCTGATCTGGCATCTCGTCTGCAGCCGCTCTCTCACAGACGTGCCGTTGCCTCCCTCTGTTTCTTTTACAAATACTTTCACGGTAACTGCTCCGATGAGCTGCTTTCGCTGGTTCGCAGGCTTCATGAATTTAAGCGTTCAACTAGGCTGGCATCTCGCTCTCACCCTCTCACTGTCGAAACTGTTAAATGTATCCGTCTCTTCTACTCCAATAGCTTCATGTCTCCCACTTCTCACCTGTGGAACTCCCTCCCCATTTCTTGTTTCCTATAATCTCCAACTATTCAAATGTAATGTCAATCGACGTCTTGATCTATCCCCTATCCTCCTTTTCATCCTTTCCTCTATCACTCCTCTTTGCTCTCGCTCCAAATCTCTTTAACCCTTTGCGCGCTAGTGGCTTCCCGCCTTGCTTGAGGTGAAACGCTTAAAAAAATCTCCTTTGATGATATTTTCTCCATGAGAAAAGATTTCATCCATAAGATTCCCACGGTTTACTCTGTTACATATAACGCGGTATTCTGCCTTTAAAAAAAACATTAAAAGTAAAAGAAAAAAAAATATTGTCGACAATCAGAAAAGTTCTAGGGATAGGGAAGGGGCTCACCCTTGCGTTCTCCACGGTGATTTTATTGAGACACCACCTCTAGTTAGCTAACCGTTGTCTCATCAAGAGTTCTTCCGCCTTTTAATAGATCTTAGTTGACATCCAACAGGTTACCTAACTACCCACTTCACTCGTAATAAATTAGTTGGGTTTAGTTGCCGACCACCCGACAGTAGATTTCACACACATACACACACAAACGCACACACACACATACACACACGCACACACACTCATACACACATAAACAAGATGTCCAAAAAATTACATACATTTTGTAGTCTAATAATAAAGCCAATTCTCTCTCAAATGATTACAAATGTCTAAAACTTAAGATGACTTATCTTAATAAGAACCTACCAAGAAGATGGATCAGGTTGCCAGTGATAATGAAAATGGTCAACACGATCACCTGATATGACAACTGTTATTTTTTCCATGGAGCTATATAAAAGGTCAGGTCTATATCCTCCTTCTTCCTACAAGCCTAGAGGAACTTCAGCAAATAATCACGGAGGCCCTGGGGAATGTTACGCAAGGCATGCTACAGCGTGTTTGACAGAAGCTGGACTATCGACTTGATATGTGTCACGTCACAGGTGCTGCGTCTATTGAACATTTGTGAAGCTTCGTGAAATCGATTATAAAATCTATATCGCTTTGAATATCTTGTTTGAATTTTGATAAATAATTTTTTTATTGTTCAACCTGAAGTCCCTTTAATTTCCTTTGCTTCAGACGTGTTCAGACTCAGATATTCACATTTAAATGATGACAATTATATAAATATTCAAACTTTACTAAGGGCTACTGAGGAGACTGACGATCTGAAGGAACACGATATATAGAAGATTTGGTTTGGATTCGTTTAGTTTGTTTTACGGCATATCAACCTTTTCTTTTTTTTCCTGGTAATATTTTTTGTTTTGTCAAAAGTCTATTTCTGGTAATATTTTTTCCTCAAAAATGTTTAGCTGGTAATATAATTTTAAAAAATGTATTGTTGGTAATATTTTTTTTTTTTTCAAAAAGTATTGCTGGTAATAGTTTTTCTTCTTCAAAAATTTATTCCTGGTAATAAGTTTTTTACAAAATATGTCTGCTATTAAAACATAGTTTTACACTTTCATAATGCTTTTTACCTGTTTCGGGGTTAACTATTTGACCATAGCTGGGACCCTAACAGGTGCTACCACCCCGGATCCGGGTAGACCTGGGAACACCAGCAATTAAGAGGTGGTTCCACACTCCTGAAAATCTCCTGATCAGAGGCCTTGCTGTTGGACGTAATTTATCGTCTTACCCTGGACGGGGATGAAATTTACCGTCATACCCAGGACGGATCTATAGAAGAATAAAAGTAAAAACACTCTATGAAATTTAACCTATATACCGTATATACTCATGTAACGCTCGATCTCGTGTATCGTGCGACCCCCAAATTTTCACTAATAAAAAGACGATTTTATCACATATCACGTGTATATTGCGAGTTGCTTTTTTAAGAAACCAAATTACAATGTGATACTAACCTCTTTTCCTCTATCTCTTTATTCCATTTCCTAGTTAAATAAGTTAAAGAAGTAAAAGCGAATGTTAAAAGTATCGTTAGTAAAGCTATACTCATTGCGTAAACGCCTATAGCCAGAAACAACCGAACGAGAAACATCTAAACATCTTATAAACGTAAACAATGGAGAAGATGCATACTCGCTATGTTTCTATTTTATAATACGATATTAATATGTGAATATTACATGCATTATTATTGGACACATGTTAAGTAAAGCATCAGTTTTATCAAAATCATGTTTATTTCAAATAGAGCTGTAAATGGATATATAGTTAGGTCAACGGCGTAGCCGTAGCCAGCAGTACATACGCTAATTTTATATCTCGTGTATGATGCAAACCCTTTAAAATTAGCCTCAAAATTAGTAAAAAATCGCATGATTACGTGAGTAGATACGTTGTTTAAAAAAATCAGGACTAAATGTACTTATGTTCATAATCGCGTAGGTTATATCTTTAAGATAATTCATTTTCGATTTTTATCGATACAATGCGAAAAATTTCCGACCTACTGAATAAAACAGTTGTCAAATAGTGCGTTGTGGGTTTGGGCAATAAACCGTTTATATATCGCTAGAGTTAACTTCCTGCTGAGAGTTCTGCATCACGTTTAGTATCTTTTATTAAACTGAAATTACAGACATACCTCTCATCAACGGACTAATGGTTTGGGGGATCGTTAAAGCCGATTGTCCGTAGATGGAAGAATTTGTTACTGATACTTAGGTTTCTACGCTTCCTTTCTACACTTTCCTTATGCTTCGATGCTATCATGAGAGCAGAACAATTAATATATTAATCAATATAACAAAAATAATAAATTTCTCACAGGTACTTTTTCGCGCACGCGCTAATGTATCGTACGTTCCGTCTTAACTGAAATGCCCGCCAACGCCGCCAAGCGATCACCTTGAGAACTGATACGACTCGATCTGCTAAGCCATCAAATTTTGAAATACATCACTGACGATTTGGAAGTTTTTTTTTATTCCTGCAGATTTTGATTTTTATTTTGCCTGCAGATTTTGTCCGTTGCATCCGAAGTCCGTTAATAGGAGGTCCGTAGATGAAAGTTTTGTCTGTAATCTAAAACAAGACCACTACAATAGAGTACCTTGTGCAGTTCAAATGCGTTTTTTTGTTCTTTAATGTACCGTGTCCCTTCAGTACAAGTATGAAAATGAGTTCTTATCCTTTGTAACGCTAAGGTTTGTTAACTTTGCTGTTAGCTCACCAGCACTGCCATTCATGCTCGTCATGTAGGTTCAAGTTGCCTTCTGTATTTCCTCTGAGTACCAAATTAGACAAGTTTTTTTCCTCCCCATGTGTCGAAAAAATACCAAATTTCTCTTTCTGATTCTAAGAACATGTGATCTTTTCGTTCCAATTCCTCTTTAAACTTCCCTGTTGACCAAATGTTCTCCCCATGGTATTCTCATCATCCTTTTTTTTACCTCAAGTCTCCTCTTCATCTTCATATCACGTTGAAGAATCGGTTCTCGTACGATCACAGAAGTTAAACAACGTTGATCCTGGTCAGTACCTAAATGGGTAACCACTTGGTAATACTAGGTGCTGTAAGCTTGATGTGCGGGTGGCGAAATAGATAAAGTTCGTAATAGAAAATCGGAGAGACGAGTTCCAATACCAGTTAGGGCTCGTTATAATCACTTACGCGCAAATAATCTTTGCTAAAGGGATGAATATGTCTTGTATCAATATTTTTTTTAATTCTTACAATCATAAAATATTTTCTGGTTTTAAATAACTTTAAAAATGTTGGTAAGCCGTAAAAAAACAAATCAGCCAACAACTACTATTCATCTGTAAGGAAATTACCCATCATTCACTACCATATAGGAGGATCTATATTAAACAGCACTCTTTTCCTTGTTTCTAATGAAATTATCACGTTTCTTCATATTAAGATTTTTGGAGGCTGTATTTGAATATTCTCATTTCAATTTTCTCCGTCACCTTTTCTGTCATCTGTTAAAATATTTGCTAGATATGTAAATTTCTCAGCTTGTTTTCTCCAATTTGTAGAGCTCTCTCATTGAGTGATGTCTTTAGGTAGCGACTATATATTCTGTCTTCTCACGATTTATAATTATTCTTTACCTCTGGCTCTCAGACTTGTTTCTAAGATTGTCTTCTTATATTTTAATTCTTTAAGCGGTTCCATTCTTCAAACTTCTTGTTTAGTGATATTAGTACGAAGATAATATTACTTCCGATGTGAGGAAACCTTGAAAGTGGGAGAAAAAGTTGAACGAATTCTAAACAGGAGTGTTAGTGAGTGACAAATAGTGAACTGGAGTTATACTACAAGTACCGTAATTCATCCATAATACGCACCCCTAAAATTATGCTGAAGATGTGGGAAAATGTTTTTACTCCCGCATAATACGCACCACTTTTTGATAATCAAACCCTATAAATTGTACGTCTCCAATTTCAGAACAGCCAGCGTTTCCTACTCACATTTTAAAAAATGGTTTTAAACAGAATATTATTTTAATTTAGTTTTATGATAATTCTTATTTTATTTTACGGCAATTTTTGAAAGATTTTTTTTTAGCTGTGCATAATACGCACCCTTGATTTTGATTATTATTTTTAGAAAAAAATGAGTATTATACATGAGGGATTACAGTAATCATTTTGATATTTCGTATAATTTGATTAAAACTGACTTCATACTTCTTCTGCCGGAAAATCATAATGCTGGGTTTGAATAGATGTAGGGTAGCTTGGTATTTACTCGATACCCTCCTCCAGAAAGTGGGATGTGGCACATGGCCGTTTTTTTTTTTTTTTTTTTTTTTGGTTTTTGGGGTTTTTATTTCGGGCAAAAATTGCCTGTAGACCTCGTATCCGCCTGGTCGGGTGAATGTCTACCTCCCCAGACGACACTCTGCCCTTAGGCATAGCCTCATCTGGGTTTCTCTCTGCCCGAAATTTAGCTCTCTGGAAGCTAGCTTGTGGTTGAAAGCTCAACCAATTTCGATATTTGTCAATTTTTATCATCCGGTGATAATGGCTTTCTAAATTTCCGAAACGTTTGTCGGAAATTAAATATTACAATTTGTTTACTTCGGATAATTGAGTTGTGTTCAGATGATTTTAGTTTTCGTTCCACTTCCGGAAAATCAAACAACAAATAAAAGGGGAAGTACTGTGTCTACAACAACCATACAACCGGAATATATAATATAAGAAACAATGAAAAGATCCGGTGAAATACAAATTGGTAGCGTCAAATACCTCAGTGTATAGATCAGTTAGAACAAATTTAATTTAGGAGATAATTGAACATAGAATAGTCTCTGCTAGTGGTAGCTTCAACAAACACTATAAATTGCTATAAAACTAAAATATTAACTTAAACTCTCGAGTCGAGTTCTTAGAATAGCCTAGTCCTATGTAGACTTTCATATGGATGTCAGGCATGGCACCAAACTCGTTCAGAAAGATCGAAACTAGACGCTATATAAAGGGTGTTTCATTAAGACGGATTATATATAAGGGTGTTTCATTAAGACGGATCAAAGTCAGTAGTAAATTAATCAATGTTAACGGTGAAAATTTATTTATTTCTCTATTGGATTACGTTAACTTGAATAAAGGGTGTTTCATTAAGGCGGATTATATATAAGGGTGTTTCATTAAGACGGATTAAAGTCAGCAGTAAATAAATTAGTGTTAGTGAAAATTTATTTATTTCTCTATTGGATCATGTTATTTAAGTCATGTCAATTATGTATGAAATATAATATACACCAAATCTGAAAGAAAAAGTAAAATACCATTAGATGCTTACACTTAATTCACATTTAAATTCGGTCCAAGTTTATTGGTACACCTTTTACAACCCTTTACTTAGATCAATGAAAATTTATTCAAGTGAATGAATCCTCTTGGTCTAGGATTTATCCTACATCCGATGGTATAGACTGACTCTACAGAACCCCAAATCATCATCATTATCATTACCACCATCATCATTATCATTTCTCCGTTGAGTGCTTCAACCGTCAGGGGGTACCTAAGGGTAGAGGAAACACGCGACCTCCTCCATGATCATCTGTTGACGGTGGCTTTCAGGAGTTCCGTCATTGTCACGTCCATCCATTCTACGATGTTGCCTAACCAGCTCTTGCGTTACCATCCCTGGGCAACGCCCACCTTCAACATTGCCTTGCGTGATGGTCTTGCAGAAGTTCGTATGATGTGGCCAAACCATACCATCTTCCGACGCTTAATATTGACGAAGAGAGATTGCTGTCGGCCCATGTGACTTTTGACCTTGCTCTGTACATAATCATTGGTTTGGGGCTCCAGTTTTGTGCTTTCAAATATTTATTGTCGTAGGCCCTACTTCAATCTGGAGTGTTCAAGTCTCACGCCTTGGAGGTGGATGAATACAGTTAGCGATTTGTAGCAGACGGCCTAAAACACATGAGGGTTTAGTGTTTATGCTGCAAAGCTGGACAGAAGAGGCAACCAACAGTAAGGGCGGAGGGATCTCCAAATGTCCTCAGCAGGCTAGTGTACGGACTGGGGTAAACCTACAATATATTCCGTGGACTTCGGTCAATAGATTGGAGAGGATATGGGCACCAACACGCTATTTGAAAACTCAATGAAAAGACCACGAGAAAGGAACCACATTAAACTTTGCCTTTAAGATATAGCCAAAATATAAGGGATATCGGAAGATGGCCAAAATGTACTTGGTCGAAACATCGTCTCCGTGATAACATCTTTGTCAATGAAAAACGAGAAACTTCTATCCACTGTGTTTTTTCTATGACGTTCATTTTCTCACAGATCTGATGTGACTACCCTTTGTAAATCACCCATGATAAGAGATTAATAACAATAATTTTTTTAAGCTTTTCACCCCAAGCAAGGCGAGACTGTTACTAGTACGCAAGGGGTTACAGAGAGTGAGAATAAGAGTAAAGAGGGGGGTCGAGTAAAGGATAAAGAGAAGGACAGGGATCAAGATCAATGCAACAGAAGATGTCGATTGACATTACATTTGAATATTTGAAGATGCCAACTTAGCAGCACGTTTGAATTCATGCAGTTTGGGAACGAGTGAAAGTAGCTCGTCGGAGCAG